TCTCTGAGCTGCATACCCTGCTGCTCACAGGAGTAAAAGCTACACAGCCCGTACCAGAGAGTGGTGGAGGAGCCCTGTGAGCTACTCACAGCAGGAGAACCCAGTGGTTCCCCAGTGCCCAGCCTCTCTTGGATGGGTGGGGTGTCCTGAGCACGCAGCTGGTCCAAGGCAGCACGGCCGTGGTAACCCCAGTGTGCGCAGAGGCTCACTGCAGACCCCAGGGTGGCCCCCACCCCAGCAGGTCCCAGTGAGGTGGCAGAGGTCCATGTCACAGCAGCCTGTAGCAGTGGGGAGCCATGGGCTTGTCCTGCCCTGATCGTGGGGTCTCCAGTTCTGCACCAGGCTCCGTGGAGCCAAAAGCTGTTTTGGCCCATGATGTAATCCAACTGTGTGTGCGTCTGTAGGACTGAGGGTGTGTGTGATGGGGAGACAGGAGGAAAGCACCTTACTGGAACTAAGATGAGTGAATTACTTTGCCATTAAGGTGAATTGAATGGTAAGGCAACCATCTGGCATTGATGTAACGATAGGTTCACCAGCTTTCAGACGGCATTACCTGAGTGCAGGGAATTGCCTTCATCCCCATTCCCTCCGCATCCATAACTAGTCATGACCCTTTGAATTCTTTTTGCTAAGTAGGACTTGCCTTAAGAAAGGGTTTGTTGTTCAGTCCTGGCTTTTGCTGGGACAGTTCTAGCCCATGTTATTATGGCATTATTGCCCATGTTATTATCGTCAGAAGATGTAATGCCATTGAAATCTAAATTTCATCCAGAAATACTGACTTTAGGATGTAACTGAAAGTGGGATTTGTGCCACAGAGCTTTAAAGTTGGTGTCTGTCTTGGCCTGTGACTCTGTTCTTTCTGGCACTTATGCTAATGACTACCACAAGAATCGGTTCAGAGCTACCACAATCAGAAATATTCCAATTCAGCTTGTGCATAAATCCTTGCGGGGTGAGACCATCTGCTTTTTTGTGATCCCAAGTGACATACCTCTCTGTCACCCGTTTGTCACATAACGGTAGTGCTGCTTGGTTGAACTCATGCTCTTCTCTCCGCAGTGCAGCGCGTGTTCAGCAGAGCCTGCTCTAGCCTGAGAACCGACTGAGTCGAGACAATCAAGATGACAAACGAGCCTATTAAAGAGATCCTGCGCGCTCCAAAGCATCCTGATTCTGCAACCACGGAGAAGAGTAACAACAATGACTGTGTGATAACCACCATCCCTCTGGTCAGTGAATGCCAGCTGACCGCCGCAACCGGGGGGGCAGAACTCTCCTGTTACCGCTGCACCATTCCCTTCGGTGTGGTGATCCTCATAGCCGGCATCGTGGTTACTGCCGTGGCGTACAGCTTCAATTCCCATGGGTCAATCATCTCCGTGTTTGGATTAGTACTCTTGTCATCAGGACTCCTTTTGCTGGCTTCTAGTGCGGTGTGCTGGAAAATTAGGCAGCAAAAAAAGAAAGCAAAGAGGAGGGAGAGCCAGACAGCACTTGTGGCAAATCACCGAACCTTGTTTGGTTAAAGACAACCAAGAGAAGGCTGGACGGAAGGCAGAACCTTTGTAAAAGTCAACTTGGCTATTTATCGATAGGAGAGACTGGAGGTTTTAATTTAACTTTGGAAGGGAACTGAAATGAAAATGGAATGGATTAAGAAAGACTCTTAAAGACTCTGCAAGTGCTCTTAATATTTTTCTTACTGCAGACTTGGTAGTGATCCTTTCCAAGACGGAGGAAAAAACATTTTTCCTTCACAGAAAACAGCATCGTCGTAACTGCAATCATCATAACTGCGTTCTCCTTGTTGGAAAGGGAACTTGTGAGAACTGAGAAAATAATTTGAACTGACTTGAAATGCCAGAGATCTCCTTAAAATACACACTGTGACATTTGACCAATGGAGAAGTCGTAACATTTGAAATTATTACGAGCTTATGGCCAGGTTGCCTGTGACTTAAACTGTAGCTCAAAAAACCCCACAAACCAATAGCAAACAAACTGCCGATTACTCAATAAGCTGATTCTTATATTTTATGTAACTTTCCCCTCCCAATATCTGTGGTACTTTCCCCCTTTTTAAAACCAACTAATATTAATTTTGTTTTATTATTGAATAGAAATAGGTAGCAATGTATAATTATATTGTCTAACCTAAATAATGAGGTATATATTATAGCTTAAAACATGAGACTTTTTTGTAAATTAAAGCGGTCAGGTTTAGCACTTTTGACTATTTTGCTATAAAATTAAAAAGTAAATTTCATTAAAATAATAAGTGCTGCTAGACCTTTAGAAATTTTTTTTTGTTGCTATCAAGATAGTGTTTATCTTCAACTTTGACTGCTTTATGATTCTATTTCTGTAGAAAAATACCCGTGACAATTACTGTCAACATATGTACTGGTGATCTCTTCCAAAAACCTCTACAGACTATGGATGTTGGTTTGATAGCCCACTCCTCTTGCAGCTTGATTAACAACTCAGTTATTGAAAAATGGTAGCGGTCAGTTCTGCAGACACTTACTGGCGTAGTCAGTTTTAGACACAGCTGTTAATAATGGCTGTGTAGTAAGTGTTTACTGAATGAGCTCTGGGATTATGAAATCTTTACAAAGAGCAGGTCTCAGGTGCCCCCTGTGTGTGTCAGATGGTCGATGCTGTAACTCTTGTGTTCCAGCGGGCTTCCAACTCTTCTCAGGCAATGAATAATTGAGGGCTGGTCCCAAACCGAAGCAAACCAGAACATTTCTTCATTTGCGTCATGAAGGACAAGTAGTGCTGAGCCAAGCCCCAGGCTTCCACCCCAGGGTGTCAGAAGAGCTGCATGGAGTCCTCCTATTTTTTTCTCTCTCTCCTTTTTTTTTTTTTTCTTCTTCCTTTCTCCAGACTCAAAAGGGCTGGATGTGATTTTTGCTTTCCACTGCTGCAGCGAGCAAGGCTTGGCTAGCTTGTCTCCTCTTTGCCCTTCAGAGCCCCTGGCATCCCCGGTGGCCGTGGCGGTGCCGCTGCAGAGCCCACCTGCCAAACAGGTGCCGCAGGGGCTTGCCTTCTGCAGGTCATCCCGGAGCCGTGCGCTTCTGCTGGAATCACCCAGGCATTCTGGCTTCGGTGCCGCCTTTTCCTCTGCCCTGCTTGGTTTAAGCTTATTACATCCACAACTTATCCCTGGATTTGCAAAGTGCACTTCGTGTTTTAAATAGAGCAACCTATATGTACGGGAGGGGATGTTTGGAGTCAGTATTTGCGTTGCCACACTCCGTAGTTACCAGACGCTATAATAAAATCACTTGCATCAGAGGAAAGCTGACAACACATTTTAGCACTTCCATAGCCCTACTTAATCACGGCAGGAAGCTTTCCTGCTGCTAGGAGAACATGTTGCGTCACCAGAACATCTGACACCGGTGTCTAATGTCAATCACTTTGCTTAAGGTCATTAAAAATATTAGGGTGTCCCCTTACGATGTACAGGTTTTGCATGAGTGACAATTCATGGGAAATGCGTAGCATGATAAATAATGGAACAGGTGGACTAAAGTGGTGTCTTTCCTGTTTAAAATGAGAAAAGTGATTGACATTAGCAAAGCTGGATAAGCTAAATAGGGCTGTTTATTTTTTTTTTCCCCTGGGAACACAATAGTTTTTCTGACTCCTTCTTCCCCCTCCACATTTCTTTTTGCTCAGTGGAATTTTGTGGGCTGCGGAGGAGGGAATTGCAGGGCCCACAGAGGAGGAGAAAAAGAAAAAGAGAGAGTAGCAGAGATTTCCACCACACACGTGTAGAAAGTGGCTCCCAGGCTGAGCCCAGAGCAGAAGCAGCCCTGATGCCCTCTGCAGAGGACTTTCCCACCCGCGGGTCCTCCCTTGGCCATTGCTGTGATACAGGCGAGCTGGCGTGCGGAAGGGAAGCAGAGGTGCAAGGTGAGGCTCTGCTCCAAGCCAAAAAAAAAGGCCAGACTCAGTGGAACAGAAGCAATGGGGTTTTGGCAGCAGTTTTTCTCAGGAAGGGTAAATGAGAGTGAGTAAGAGTCGCTCTGCTACTACTAGAGGAGATTTCCTTTCCCTTATCTCTGCTCTCTTTTATATTTGCACGGCACATACAAGGACACAGCAGTGCCTGCACCACCCTCTGCCTTGCTGATTGTGGAGCATCTCGGCATTAAGCAGCATGTGAGCAGTGACAGAGAGCATTGCAATGGCCCCGGGCATGATCGCCTGGCTCAGCAGAGCTTCAGATACAACATGGTATCCCATAATACCAGCTAACTGATGGGCTGATACACCTCGAGGCTGCCATAGCACACGCTGCTGAGCTCAGTACCATCGACTGCATCCTACTGAGACCAGGTACACGCACAAACATCTTCATGTCAAGCATCCTCATGTCCTTTATTCAGAGAAGTAAAACAGTAACTTCAGAGGGAAGAATCCCAGCCCCTGGTCCTAATGTCCTGCAGGAGCAAGGCAGAGGTTGTGAACAGTTTAGTCAGAGACCTCATGCTGGTGAAGATCTTTTCAGACGTTTCATCACCGAATTTCCACATGGCTTTAGGAACTGGCACAGACTCCTGCACCGTGATTTGTGTGCATTGATTTCGGGGCAATCTGAAGCAGTAGTAGCATCTTTTCTGAATGACCAATGGTGACGGCCAACACAAGTCTCACAGTCTGTTTTTTCTTCCTGCAGATCTGCATATCGCAGACATTTTCACTGTTACCCTCTCTCCCTGCACTCCTTGTCCTGGTTCCAACACAGGAACAATACGTTCTTTTTAGCCCTTAAAACCCCAATCATTCAGGGAGAGGTGCTAGGCGAGGGCAGGCTTAGCAGCTTCGTTTTTCCAGACACTGGTGATATTGTTAGCTTTGAAATGTTTTTCACAAGGGCACATTTACACTGCTTTTACCAGGGTCAACCCCTTAAACTGGTCAGCTACAAACAGCAAAATTTCTGCTTCAGCTTTTGGACCCCGTGACCTCATCTGGATCGATGTAGGGTTTCATGCCGGGATGCTGGGTCATGCAATCCACCAAGTCTTTGATACAAAGCCGTTTGTATCATGTATCATGACTCCACGATTGCTGTCTGGTGTTTCTCATGGGAACCTGAGAGGCAGAAGTCAGCCTGGAGGATGCAACCCTGTGGAGATCACAGTGACTTTCCAGTTCAGAAACACCTTCCCTTCTGGTGTGAAAAGGCTTTGAATGTGACAAATGGTATTTCGGTTCTGGGAGAGGTTGGGTGGGAGCTGATGCAAATTTTATTGTCACAATTGCTTGTCTCTCCCTTCCTGAAAGCTCTGGCAGCATTGCGCAAGCAGAATTGCCCTCACAAGGATAGAACATTATCTAATAGGGGAATTGCGCTGGTGCACCGGGCAAATGTTACGGGGATCTTAAATAATCATTTCAAAACCTAAGCACAGGAAATCGTGTCTGTAACTACACCCTGTATTGCTATTGTACACAAAGCCAGTTATAGCCTGGGACAGTATTTTAAAATAATAATCAGTTTGGTATGACAATGCTCAGTATTTGTTCAACTCAAAACGCCCAATTTACGATTCCCCAGTCACATAACCTGTCAAGTTTTGTACGTGACTGTGGTTCTAATACCACAATTTTCCAGGTCTGGAAAAAAATTAAAAATAAAAAAAAAAAAAAAGAAAAAGAAAAAGAGAGAAAGATTAGTTTCGTCAGCTTGTGTCAAGAATTAAGTTTCTCTGCCTTGGACACTTGGGAGAGCTCCTGTTACCAAACAGCAAGTGTACAATGTTACTGCAGCGCTTCGGAACAGGAACCAGGCTCAGAGTATGGAATGAAGAAAAGCCTGAGCATCTCATCGGGATCTGGCCAGGAACAAGCCCTCTGCAATATCCCATATTCTTGCCTCAGCTTTTCTTATCCAGAGCCAAAGTCCGGGGCTATTGCTCCTTTAATATCGGAGATGGATGTTGTTGCACATTATTAGCAGGTTTCACTTAATGTGTTTTTACAATGGGCTCCAAAATAAGAGCAGAACAATATTGGCAGCCATCATTTTGTATCTGTATTCCCAATACCACCGATGCCTTTAGATTAGGACATTTTAGCAATATCACTGTGAATGTTTGTCAATTACAAAGGGCTTTGTTTACATAAAAATATGTTAATATATCAATCACAATATATCATCACTCTGTGATGTGAAAAATTATATAAATCCTGGCAAAACTCTATGTGTAGACTAAATTTTACAGGCTAAACCATATGGGTGAACAATGGTCTTAAATTGCAGAATCAACTTGAATTTTTGGCTTTTATTCAGGTTGTTGATGTCACTATTAACATGACAGAGGACCTAATCCTTCCTCTCTTGAGCAGCCAGTCAGAGTCCTATTGTCCTAACTCATGCATCCAATAACTGGCCTTTGTGGTTAACATGGCATTTTTGAAAAACATATTTTCTGTATTGATTGCTTTCACTTCTTAACTCTTCTGTGCTTTCTAGACTAAGAGAAAAAATGTATTAAACTTTAAAAAC